TTTAAAATAGAAATTTGGGGCAGAATCCTCCTTGCTTGATCTGATCAAACAACAGTCTGTTGGATCTTATACAGCATTTCCCTGATCACTGAAATGAGACAACCAAAATTGCTGGCTGACAGACCTGTATGAAGGGAAGATCATGAGTGAGTGTGTGAATAGGACTTCCTGCTGGTCTGAGGGAAAAGCTAGCCAAATAAAAAGGAGCCCCAGCTAAGTAGAGGTGAAGAGACACCTGAGGCCTGCCAGCAGTGGTGTTAACTAGCAGACCTTACCAGAATTCCAGGTAGGTGCTGCGTATACCAGCTCTGAGATCAAGATGGACACAACCTGGGCATGAGTATTGGTTCCATCCTACAAGACAGCATTGCTTTGTCCAAGATGTAGTGCATGCGGAGGCAGAGATTTCCCGTCCAGCTCTTGAGTTCTTGGAAACCATGGCTTTCTTGGACATGACCCAACATGTTAACAGCCCCACACATGTGGATGGTCATATGCTAGACCTGGTATTCTCTACTGAGCAGAGCGAGTGTGGTCTGATGGTGACTGACTTTGTTTCAGTTCCCTTGTCATGGTCAGATCACTACCTAATAAAATGTAATCTCTCAGTGGCTCTCCCTTCCCCACAGGAGCATGGACCTATTGCAATGGTCCACCCTTGAAGGTTACTGGATCCATCACGATTCCAGGACACCATGAGAGGGATTCCAGCTGATCTGTCTGGTGCTCCTGTCGAGGCTCTGGTGGACGGCTGGCTTGCTGCCACCACTAGGGCTGTAGACACGATCGCTCCTAAACACCCTCTCCGGCACAGAGCTCAGCCAGGGTCCTGGTTTAACCAGGAGCTGCGAGCTATGAGGCGAAATACGAGACAGCTAGAGTGCAATTGGAGAGATGAACCGACGGATTATAATAAGAAAGCTGTCAGGATCGCGACTAACCACTACTTTGCTAAGGTGAGGGCTGCTAGATGATCACACTTCGCTAATCAGATAAGCAAAGCTTCAAATCAGCAGGCATAACTCTTCCGTATAGTTTGCGATCTATCTGGAATTGGTCTGGGTGATGGGCTTCCTACTAATATCTCACCTGACCAATTCGCAGAATTTTTTAAATCTAAAGTGGAGGCCATCCGCTGGGAGCTCTCTCCTTTTTAAAATATCGAGCAGAGATGTCCAGCGCTCTGCCTTGCCTGGTGAGGTTTGAAGCCTTTCAGCCTGTAAATTGGTCTGGGTGATGGGCCTCCTACTAATATCTCACCTGATCAATTCGCAGAATTTTTAAAATCTAAAGTGGAGGCCATCCGCTGGGAGCTCTCTCCTTTTTAAAATACAGTGGATCGAGCAGAGATGTCCAGCGCTCTGCCTTGCCCGGTGAGGTTTGAAGCCTTTCAGCCTGTGACGCCAGATATGGTGGACAAAGCACTTGACCACTTCCTCTCTTGACCCTTGCCGTTCTGTCCCTTCAACACTATCTGGAGGCTTTACTGCGATGGATGCAGAAGAATGGGCTGAGGCAAGACAGAGGTCATGAGGGTGGGTGGCCCTTCCATTGGCGGTTTGGGAAACTCCATCTCTTTTTTGGGGGTGACTCTCAATGCGAAGAGTGAGGTTCGCAGCTTGGGAGTATATCTGGATCCGGCACTTACCATGGAAACCCAGATGGCGTCAGTGGTCCGCTCTGCCTATTTCCATCTGTGGCAGATTGCCCAGCTGTGTCCCTATCTTGATGACGGGGCCCTCACCACTCTGGTCCATGCGCTCGTAATCTCGAGATTAGACCACTGTAATGAGCTCTACATGAGGCTACCTTTGAGATTGCTCATGCTGGAGAGACAATCCATCCATTAGGGCTGAAATCAGGCAGAGAAATCCTGTGTCACTTGTTCAAGGTTCCAAAACAGGGCAATCTCCTCCTCCCATATCAGCCCCATGAGATGTAGCCCATAATATTTGGTAATTTCCCTGCTACTCACCACAGAAGCTCACAGAGGGACAGGTGGGACTATAGAAAGAAGGCAGGAGAAGCAAAAGACCCACTGGGCGACCTTCACTCCTGGCCCTGCACTAGATGCCCCCCATAGAACTATCATGTCTAGAATGTAGAAAGCATTCTTTCAAAAAAAGAGAGGCATTTTTGTGACAAGAACGTAACAGATTAACTATAGCCCTATCCTGGGTAGGATTAATCTGAACATGGGAGAAAAATAAGCAGGCTAGCCTTGCTCCCTCTGTCATCACTCTCTTCACATGGAAGATGCTAATCTGAAGAGGTTATCATTCTGTACACTGTGTCACAACAAACTTCTCTATGTGATGGCAGTGGTAGGACTTGGAAAAATTACTCTTGCCCATGCTGGTCCAAGGGACTTTGGGAGTTACAGTCCAAAAAATAAATCTTTTCTACACTGTGTAACCTGCTCTTGGTTATTTTCACACAAGCTATTGAATGTCTCTGGACAAATTTTAAAATATGTTTTTAATTTACAGTTCACGCGGCATGTCAACATAAATGTTACAGGCTCCTTGCCAAAAAAAAATTAAGACAAGAGTTTATTAGCTGGACTACTAATTAAAAGCACAACATTAAAATTAAAATATGAGCTCTTGGCTCTGTGTTCTGGGTTTTTTGGATTATTTTGCAACAGGAGATGCTGATTGGATTGTCTTCCATCAGCATCACAATGCAGTCATCTCAGTCTCTTTGGATGAACTTGTTGCTTGTTTCCAACAAAGCCAAGTTACTCTGGATTCCAGATGCACTGGACAGCCAGTGAAGCCGTAGCCTAATTGAAACCCCTTGCTCGTATCTGTTTCATTTCCAAATGGAAGGGCCCCTCCTTTTGTAATAATAGCTGCACATAACGACAACTGGCTTCACATTACACACTAATCCAGAGACATCTAGAAATGGACTATCTCACCTGCTTAAGCCATGTCTAATTCCATCTACAGTAAGGTATCTGGTCCTTGCTCAACTTTGCATATGGGTTACATTAAACTCAGAAAACACATGTTGTTCAAAGGAAAGGCAACCTTCTCTACTAGAGGAAGGGAGATATTTTTACATTTCTGTCACCAATGGATGTGTCAGTGCACACCTAGGAAAGACTGGGATTTCATCCTTTGCCAAGAGAATGCAGAAATGATTAGATGTATATGGCAAATACAGCACAATGGAACAGCAGTTGTTTTGAAATTTGATGGTGAAGAAGGAAACACAGATAGTTTGTGACCAGAGAAGGGGGGTGTCTCTCTGAAATTCTGAGGTGAGGTGCTACTCTGTCCCAGTCTATGAGCCAACCCTCTTTATAAGTCTGCTATACTTCAAGGTTTCTTTGTCCAGGATTCACCAGGTGTAACAATCCATCCAAATGTCTTTGTTCCAGAAATATCTTCATTGCATGATGCTTAAATAATGCTTTTAATCTGCCACTGTTGTTTAAATACCATGATTTTTTAAAATTTTTAATTTAGGAATTCATGTATATTAGTTTTCAACCTTCATAGAAACATCCTAACTTCACAGAACAACATTGGGGAAAAAAACAAAACAAAACAAAACAAAACAAAACAAAAAATTAAAAATCGGTAAGCGGTAAAATAAAAAAGCATTATTTTCTTGCAATTTTACTTTTTTAATAGCTTTATAATCACATTCTTGTAAAATATTTCAGAACAGGGAAAAGCCTAAACATACATAAAATAAAAATATCATGATAAATCTATTAATCATTCACTTTCTGTCTCCTATTCAATATAACCAATTATAAAGGATCATGGGTAGTATAGATCAAAATATATGAAGGTCCACATAGAATTTGTGAATGAATAATTTCTGTCTTAATGACAAATGTGGAATCCCAAAGGAGGAAACAGCAGTAGCATTTCCTTCATGGCTGTGACTTCCTTCCATTCACGCTGTTTCCTTCCACAGAACAAGACAAGAGACTAGGGCAGTGGTTTCCAGCTTTGGATCCCCAGATGTTCTTGGACTACTACTCCCAAAAACCTTGGCCAGCACAGCTGGTAGTGAAGGCTTCTGGGAAGCCTTCCCAAGAACATCTAAGGACCCAAGGTTGGGAACCACTGGACTAGGGGAAGAGTGGAAAAGAAGTAGACAATATCTCTATTTAAACAGTGAGGTAATCAAAGAGCTGATTCACAAGTAACACTAAACTACTGGTTTAGCAATACATGGCCAAACTAGAAAGAGCCCAAACAAAGCCTACAACTAGTTCTTTCCACTATCCTTCTCATATAAGCCCAAGACAAATACTTCACAGTTATTTTGTCCCACATTCAAACTGTCCTAGATTAATATTACATAGGAACCAGAGACCACGGCTTGAAACATATTCCACCTAGTCCAACAGGCCAACTTCATCAACCATGGTCTGCTGTTACAGGCTAAAAGGAACAGAAGGGCTCTTTAGGTGTTTACTGAATAAAGCTTGGCAAAACAGAACTTAATCTAAAAGGGAATATTAAGACTACAGCTTGGAAACGCTACTTTCTGGACAACCACACGCGGGGAAAGTGTAGTCTGAGAATGGGATGCTTGTAAAGACCAAATATGAGATATACTTAGAATTCTTTCAACATGATTGTGAGCACAATAAAAGCCTAATTAATAAGCACTTCTTTCAGTAACACATTTAATTAAAACATGTACTTCAGACAAATTCAGAATTAAATACCCCACAACATTTGAGCACGAACTTCTAAAACATACATAACCTTTCAACTACACAAAGTCCTGGCCTGCTCATTCCTTCTTAGCTATATTAGTCATTTCTGGCCAGCAAAACTTCTTCGTGTGAACTGCCTGGAATCAGCAGGCAATTTACCAAACAGAAAGAGCAAATGACAAGGCTGAGGTTGTATCAATTTACATCAAGAAGCAATACTGGAAATATCTAGACATACGGCCTTCGGCACTAAAACAAAAAACCAAAAAAACAACAATCCCAATGTCAGTTAATATAATTATATACTCACTGATTTAATTCCATATCCAGGATGAAAGATGATCCAAAAGCATCTACCTGGAAGCTGGCTCGGGTAACATGGGTAGACTGCAAGTGAAAATAATTGAAGTGGGTTAGTCAGCATTAAACTGTCCCCAATGTTTTATTACACAGATATTACATGGAAATATACTTAGTGTCAGCACAAACACAGAGCAACACTTGTTAAATGGCACCTCCCGGCATTCCTTCAGTTAGTTATGCGCCGCCAAGTCAGAACTGATTTATAGCAACCTTACCTTTCAACGTAAGTGAGATATTTAAGTAGTTTTACCAGTTCTAACCCGCCCCCCAAATGAGTTTCTATGGCCAAGTGGGAATACAAACCCTGATCTCCAAAGTCCTGGTTCATCTAACCACTATGCCACACTGGGTACCTCCCAGCATTCCTTATTGATGGCTATTCTAGGTAGGGGTGATGGCGGCAGCAGTTCCAAAATGGACCGTTGCAATCCACCCAACCTGGTTTCAAAGTAACTAAGAAGTGGCTATGTACAGTAGCTACTCCTAAAAACAGGAGTTACTTTTTAAAAATATATACTTATAACAGCAACTGACCACCAGGATCTAACTACTTTTCAAGCATGACTTCTCAGATTCTGAAACGCAAGACATCAGGAAAAGGTTATCGATCTGATTTCTAAGTCTTTGGTATTCTAGGTGTGGACTGAGGAACTGAAACCACCAATATTTTCATCAAAGCCTCTCCCACATTTTAAGTTGGCAGCACTCCTTCTTCCCCTTTCCACCATGATCTGGTAATTGGGTCCCGAGAGATCAAGAGCAGCTGCAGCTGCCCCTTCCAAAAGGCGAAGAACCTTCTGCAGCATTTCTTCCTTTTAAAATACAAAGCGGGAGAAGCAAGAATCACAATTCTCCATGCAAAATCCAGTCTATCGCAATCCTACGGACACACAAGGGCTTGATAACATAATACCAGGAATATCTTTAGGAATCAAGCAGACAAGCAGGAAGTAAGAAGTAGGAGAGGGAGTGGAAACAATCCAACTTCAAAAGCTACTGCCTAGTTAATTACAACCGGAAATGCTTTCTGGCTGACCCTCATATATAAATTAGAGGGTAATTTGACCAAATGCAGCTGCTTTTCTTAATGGATTGTTAGTGGGAATCTCTCTGGAGGCCTCCAAGGAAAACATCCTCATTTTACTGAGAAAGCAGCATTACCCATTATGGCTTGCCAATTACACCAATGTCGGTTTTGGCATTAACAGCTGGGAAGCACTGGCCACTTAGGAACACAAATCAGAATGAAAACAGCAGAGGCTTGGAATCACATTTATTTTTTTGGATCATGCAGCCCTCGGAATCCCCCAGTCCAGCCAGAAATTCTGAGCGCTGTAGTCCAGAAAAGAACTTTTCCAAGCTGCGTTCTTTCCTTCAAACATTTTGTTTAGACCTTAATGTTGTTTCACCAAGAGAGAAAGAGAGCCTCAAGTACGAATACAACAGAAGTGAGGAGGAAACATTATGGAAGACCTGCTTAAGAGACAGACATAACCATAGATACCAGAGATGTGATTCCCTTCCACGAGGAGCAAGATTCACATTTGATATATGATGTTTTAATATATTTTATATTATGTCTACAAAGGATTCAAGGCATGACACCAAGCACTACTAACCCACAAGTGACTGTCATACTTTGCCAAGATCTCAAGACATTGTTGTCTTAATTCCACCTTAGGATTCATCCAGTCCTGCCTTTCGCATGATGTATTCTGCATATAAGTTAAATAAGCCGGGGGACAATATACAGCCTTGTATTCCTTTCCCAATTTTGAACCAATAAGTTGTCCCATATCCAGTTCTAACTGTTGCTTCCTGTCCCACATATAGGTTTCTCAGGAGACAGATAAGGTGGTCAGGCACTCCCATTTCTTTAAGAACTTGCCATTGTTTGCTGTGGTCCACACAGTCCAAGGCTTTTGCGTAGTCAGTGAAGCAGAAGTACAGTGGTGCCTCAACTTACCAACATCCCTACTTACGATCATTTTGAGTTACAACCAGCTCCAGCGGCAAAATTTTGCTTTTACTTGCGACCAGAGCTTCCACTTTTGAACAGAAAAAGGCGGGGAATTCAAATTTCTCGTAACTGTAGGTGGTGACAAGACTGCTTCTTTGTAGCTCTTTCACCCCAGCAGTTAGAGAGTGTGTGTCGGAGGAGGCTTGGGACTGCCTCATTTTGCGTGCGTGCGTGCGTGCGTGTGTGTGTTTACAGGGAGACTTCGGGCTGCCTGGTAAGGTACGGTGCTGTTTTCTGCTTTTTAAAAACTGTTCTGGGTGTTTTTGCAGCATGGTTTTGAGCTGGGGGGTTTATGTTTCTGTGCTGTGATGGGTCTTGGGAGGTTGTTTGTTTTTTGTTTTTCTCCCCATTTCCGATGGGTCTGGGGGTGGTTGTTACTTTTTGGAGTAGTTTTTTCCCATTTCCGAAGGGGCTTGGGGGTTTTGTTTTTTGGTTTTTCACCCCATTTCTGATGGGCCTTGGGGGGTTTGGTTGCTTTGGGGGGATTTCCCCATTTCCAATGGATCTCGAGGGTTTTTGTTTGTTTGTTTTTTGATTCCCTCCCCCATTTCCAATGCGTCTTGGGGATTTTGGTTGCTTTTTGGGAGGTTTTTCCCCATTTCCAATGGGTCTTGGGGGGTTGTTTGTTTTTTGGCTACCCCAATTCCAATTGTCTTGAGGGTTGGTTGCTTTTTGGGGGTTTTCCCCATTTCCAATGGGTCCTGCATGCTTCCCTTAATTTTTCCTTTGTTTTCTTTGCATTTTCAACCTGCCCCGTTTGTTCTCTGTGCATTTCCGATCAGCTCAGTTTGTTTTCTGTGCATTTCCAATGGGTCTTGCATGCTTGATTGCTTTTCTTTTTTTCCCCCTTCGGCTGGAAGGGATTAATCATATTTCCAATGAATCTTGCATTTTTTTGGTGTGTGTGTGTGTGATTTTTTTTCTTTGGGTGGAACGGATTAAGGATTTTGAGCATAACCTTGCTAGTGTGTGAAATGAGTGCAATTGTACGGTAGTTGGAGCATTCTTTGACACTGCCCTTCTTTGGGATTGGGATGTAGACTGATCTTTTCTAATCCTCTGGCAACTGCTAAGTTTTCCAAGCTTGCTGGCTTATTGAGTGTAGCACCTTAACAGTGTCATCTTTTAAGATTTTATGTAGTTCAACAGGAATGTCATCACCTCCACTGGTCTTGTTGTTAGACATTTTCTAAGACAACCTATCTAGGTTGTCCGGGACGTCCAGATCTTTTTTGGTATAATTCCTCTATGTATTCTTGCCACCTCTTAATGTCTTTTTATTATGTTAGGTCTCTACCATTTTTGTCCTTTATCATGTACCTCTTTGCACAAAAGCTTCCTTTAATATCTCCAATTTTCTTGAACAGATCTCTGGTTTTCCCCTTTCTATTATTTTCCTTTATTTCTTTGCACTGTTCATTTAAGAAAGCCCTCTTGTCTCTCCTTGCTATTCTTTTGAAATCTGCATTCAATTTTCTGTAACTTTCCCTATCTCCCTTGCATTTTGTTTCCCTTCTCTTCTCTGCTATTTGTAAGGCCTCGGTATCTCATGACATACCCAGCCAGTTTTCTGAAAAACTAACAAATTTATACAGAGAGAGATTCTCAGATTTAAATTCCAGTGAAACACATTTTTCTTTTCTTTTCTTCACATCACCCACATCAACATTTCACTCCTTAGCAGAAGTCTGGCCATCTCAAAACAACCAGAACTGTGCCACCTGGAGAACGGCAGGTGGCAGATAACCCTTCATATCATATATTAATCCTGGGGAAAAAGAGAGAGGAAGAGAGAGTACCCATTTAACGTCTTTCTCTGAACAGCTTCCTGCAGCAAGCAGATTCCGTCCCTTGTTTAATTCCTTTTGAGCATCTTATACTACCATTATTTGTTCTAATATAATGGCATTTCATGTTGGTTTTCCTAGGAACGTAAAAGTGGGGGGGGGGGAAATATGTCGAGGAATTGAAAGTCCAGCTGAGTTCTGAGAAGAAAGCAGTTGATATGTAAGAGTATAGCCCTTGCCTTTCACATCGTTAGGACCTAGATTGAAGAAACAACTGTCAAAGGGATCAGGCATCTTGGCAAAACAACCTTAAGGCAATCTTTCAGGAGAAGATACTTGAAGCACCAACATAAAGCAGCAGTTATACAGGATCAGCTGGAAAGGGTCACAATAAATTGGCTGAGGTTATTTGTCTCTGAAGTAAACATAACTCCACTAAAGATAAGAAGGAAAGAAAAAGAACATTCTCTAGAAAACAGAAAGTGAATTATAAACAAACATAGAAGAGAATTTAAAATATTCAATTGTAGAAGTTGACTGAGAATTTACCATAAATGGGCTAGTAATGTTACAATTGTGAGGAAGGGAAAGCTCATTTCCAGATTAAGACTTAATACATTTTGCTCACACATACAATGTTGTTGTTGTAGACTTTAAATAGCTTTCTCTTGGCTTTTTATGACCTGCCAGTAGCCAACTGATAAACTACCACTAATACAATAAATTCAAAATGTTTTAACACTTAGTATTGAAAATAATTCTTAAAGAGGCTAGTAATTACCAGCATAAAACATAACAAGACAAGAATCAATAAAGCACACCAGTAAACAGCAGGTATGGGATTCCATGTCATGGAAAGATTTGGGTAACGGGACATGTTTTCAAATTACACTAAAAAGATATTATGGGGCATTCTTACATATAGTCAATAAATCTTCTCTTCCTCATTATTTCCTATTCTTCACACTCCAGTGCAACCTTCAATACAAAGGGACAACACACTACCAGAAGTCTTCCACTCTATGAGTCTTGTACAATGAATTCACAGACCAATGGTACAAATTTCCCTTTTCCACTTACACATCTTTGGATCTATCTTGATTATAGAGTTTCAGTCTGTAAGACAAGGGCTGTAGCTTTCACTTTATGAAGAGCAAAATATATAGCCTACAAAGATGGGTCACATGAGTCCAACTGGCATAGAATTTTGTATCCAC